CTTCCCTGGATCATCATCGACTGCATACCCTACTTCAACCGCTACAAGATCCAACCGGTGCGTTGCCAACAACATAGCCTTGGCATGGATGAAGCTAATTCACCGCAGAACAAAATCCCTACTGCTTGGGAACAGACACAATGCGCCCTCCTTGTCCTTCTCTCCCACTTCACTGTCGAACTCCCTCAGATCTGGCTGTTCCACCCCATGTGCCAGTACTTTGGCCTCCAGACCTCTGTTCCTTTCCCCAGCATCTACAAGATGGCATACCAGATTGCCATTTTCTTCGTTTTCGAGGACGCATGGCACTACTGGGCTCACCGTCTCATGCACGCCAGCTCCTTCCTCTACAAGAACGTCCACAAGATTCACCACCAATACTCTGCCCCATTCGGTCTCGCCGCTGAGTACGCCTCGCCCATTGAGGTCATGGTTTTGGGTTTCGGCAGTGTCGGTGTCCCCATCGTGTGGTGCGCCATCACAAAGGACCTTCACATCCTGACCATGTACTGCTGGATTGTGCTACGTCTGTTCCAAGCCATTGATGCCCACAGCGGCTACGAGTTCCCCTGGAGTCTGCACCATTTCCTGCCTTTCTGGGCCGGCGCTGAGCACCACGATGTTCACCACGAGAAGTTCATTGGCAACTACGGTAGCAGCTTCAGGTGGTGGGACTTTGTCCTTGATACCGAGGCTGGTGCCGAGGCCTCCAAGAAGCGCAGAGAGCGCAAGATGGCTCAGCTCAAGAAGGTTGAGTAAAAGAGCAATGAACAATTGTAATGCGTACGGAGAGACGTCGGTCCTGGCTGACTTTTCTGCTCGCCAGTCTTGACGTGGAGCTGGCATGAAAATGGCGTTTTTTTGGTACAAGGAAAACGCAGTTATGCATTTGATGGTGGCATTAGACGGCACACAGACCCTGGGTAATAGTATGAGTGTTGGCTGTACATAGGAGCAGGGTCTTTATTAGAACATCTATATAATAATTTTTACGGTCGTTATGTTTATATCCATGGATTGCATATCGTGCAAAGTGAGCTGGCTTTCCGAAAACCGGGCGTTCGCGAGTAAAGCGGTGTATTGAATGTCACTATTGTTGAGCAGTATGTACGAGACTCGAGCGACGCCCCTGGTGATAGCGCGGAATGGCCTTGGCGCGGCGAGGCCTGGCGCGCGTCGGCATTCCGAGCTTCATCAACTTTCTTTGGCCCTCTCATAGCCGCGCAACCACCACCACCATCACCAGAAATTCATACTAACCCAACGACAAGATGAGCTCCGGACGTCCGGTCGTCCACCAGGACTACATTGCGAAAATAAGATATTCGAATGCGCTGCCTCCTCCACCATGCCCTCCCAAGCTGCTAGACATTCCCAACACCGGCCTATCGAGCGGGCAGTACACGTCGGCGGGCTTTGCATCTAGGCTTGCGCGAGAACAATCGCTGAACATTGAAGCTGATGCTGAGTTGGGTATGCCCATCGATCTGGTCGGTATTCCCAAAGTATTCGATGGAGATGAGTCTGGTAAGTGAACATGCAGAAGCGCAAATGGTGCACAGCGATTGACGCGTCGTATAGCTATTCAGGCTATGCCTCGCCCACCGCCGCTTAGTGCTGCAGATAAGGCGCTGATGCGACCGCCAAATGCGCTTGGAAAGAGTACCAGCCACGTCTCGAGCGCTACCTTCTTGCGGCGAACGGAATACGTTACCGCAAGTACCACTGGCGGTTCTAAGTTCGAATCGAGCAACTCATCCAACACTATGCGCCTGCGTAGGAAGCGGAAGCAAGTGGAGACGTCCCTCGATGATCCTACAAACATCTCGCGACACATTCTGAAGGGCTTCAACATTGCCTACCCAGCAGATGCATACAACGGGCAGGACAGTGCAGAGAACATTAGGGCGGCAGAGTCGACACCTGAAGAGCGACTGGCGTGGAATAAGCCCAAACACCCCAGAAACCCCAATCTCAAGCTGCTCGACTCGTACCCGCTTCTTCCAGACTGGGACGCTACGCCCGATACTGGTGGATACATGGTCTTCAAATTCACCGCACCACCCATCAACAACCCACTCGACCCCTCGTACGACCCACGACTTGACGTCGCTCTTCTCCGTCCCGCTGGTCAGACCATCGAAGACCAAGAGCGCTACATGGAAGACCTCCAAGCACACAAGCTCGACCCAACAGTCCCACCACCTATTGCACGCTACCAATTCGAGTTCTTCCTACCCTCAGACAAGAGCAAAGTCCGCGGTATCAAACGCAACTTCACCACACACGACCCTACCAACGAAGCCGACATTGACTTCGACATTGCCGAAGACGACGAAGGCCAACCCCGCAAATGCTTCAAATACGATAACATCCGCACCTACGAGACATCGCAACAAGTCGGCGACCCTAGCGATACCTATGGCGATGTCGTCGCCCTTGCCCTACACGACCCCGAGAAACACGAGTCTGAACCCCTGCGCGATACCAAGTTGCAAAAGGCAGCGTACTTTTACCCCATTACTCAACGGACGAGCTTGAGGCCGAGACGACCGGGTCGTGTGGATATGACGGAGGAGCAGCCCAAGGTGGATATTATTGAGGCTGCGGGTAAAGATCCAGAGTCGTTTGAGAGGAGAGAAATGTACAGGAAGAGGGCGGAGGGTATGGAGGTTGGGGAGTGAGTAGGAGGTTCATTGATTCGTGGGAAGGTTGTTCCTTGGGGAAATATTAAAGTCATAGGGAACAAAAGACTTGGGGGACTCTATGTATTCTGAATATGGAAGACTGGGATTCATTTTGCAACTTCTTTTTTTGAGAGAGAGAGAGAAATATTCATCAGCGTGGGCGTTTGATTGGTGGGGATTTGGAAGGGATTCGTTGACACATGTGACATCAATAAAATGAGGATTTTGCTAAATGAAAGATGGTTTGCGGGTTCGGTGGGGTGGAGTGACGCATGAAGGATGATTGTCCTTTTGGTCTTAGTGATGTACAGCGGAGTACGCAGGGTGGTATTTCATTTCTATCCCTTTCGCGGAGAAAATGGTTGGCTTGACTTGCTGGCTACGCGAATAGAAGAGCTATTAAAAGAAGTATTATTTGCCCATGTATCTAGAAAGTGTGTGTGTGGGGGGGGGGGTTTGCTACGAAGATAAGTTTGAAGATAGTAAGAGCAAGTAAAAGATGTGTGTAAGGAAAAGTATATATTTATATAACAATGTGCCGAACGCCGAGTAAGAGACAACTATGCGAAACAAGCGTCTATTCTCTTTCCGTTTTCCTTTCTTTTCTTTTTTCCTGATGGAGAGTGAAATGGGTTCGAACAATCCATGTGTAATATGTCTAGTGTGTTTGGAACAATCCGTGTAATATGTCTAATATATCTAAACTCTCCTTTTCTATACAACGCTACACCGATGTCGAAGATGACAGAGAAAGTATCACTATTTCGAAGCTGGGTCGCCTCTTCGCAGGTAGAAAATAAGCGTTATAACTGCGGCGAGGAAGATGCCTAGGTGGCTTGCAGTATTCAGTCGGGAGCGCCAGACACTCTCGTCGCATTTGTACCAAGGTACAGAGCGCTTTTTTCTGTGTCGTCGTCTTGGGCGATTATTCGATGCGTCTTGGTGGGTGATTGGTAGGGTAGGCGTGAGAGCGGTGTTTCCGTGATTAGGCATGATAGTAGCGTGGGGGGATGCGATCTAGACATAGTCACGTGTTAGTGATACGGGAAGGCGCATGCTGAGTGGATGGATTGTACGCGCAGGTGCATACCGAGGAACAAGATAGAAGGAAGTGGGTACTGTTTACTCTGCAGTGGGATTTAAAAGGTGTAGTAGCTTTTGCACTTGGGAATCTAGTGGTGTCGAGGGTGTGGGATATTATAGTGTTTTCTGTATTGCCTAACTCTTATAACGTAAGTACTCTCCATGTCGGTCCCTCAGCCCTCGTGCGTCCATGCGAGTGTCGTTGCCTCGCCTTTCCCCTGTCCATGAGAACGTCTGTGCCTCGCCTTTGCCTTGGCTACATGAATTTGGCTCCAACAAACTCGAGAGTGGAGCAAAAGTAACTGGGTTGATTGGCTCTCCCCGGGACTAGCTTTTCAGCCATTGACGCCATGTAAGGGCACTCCCAAAAACACCGTCCTAAAAAAGTTCCCAGCGAGGGCTCGAAAGATCGTAGCCAATAAGGTTGGAGGGACGGGAAACGCTAAACATCCCGCGGCACAGCCTCCAGGTGTGTGATGCTGACCAGTCCAAGCAGCGGACGTTTTTTACGCACTGGGTTCTCAATCTGGAGAAATGGCGCAGTGTTACAAGCGTCCCAGGACATTATGTCCTTGTTTCTGTTATTACGTTCAAGTAAAGTATCAGTTGTTCACCGTTACCCGTCAAGGGTCAGAGCTGAGATATTTAGCCATGTGATCAGTTTCGTAGAGTGAGGATTATTGTTGTGGTCTTAGAGGCATGTGTACGTTGTGGAGCTGTTTTGACACTGGGTGGGGTGGACGATATTCAAGGAAAAAATGGGTACTTGTTGGTTCTGGGTGTGGTGGTTCATGGTAGACTGGGTATGGGAGATATACGATTGAGGTCTATCTTTTGACGGAACGCATGAAGAATGTTCTTTTATCATGCAAAAGTATGTAGGGATTCGGATTCGGATTCGAAGATCTTGGTAAGTAGGGGTGGTAAAGAGAGTGATATGCGTGAGGGAAAAGTGTCCCTTCATACTAGCAATATGCGGTATACTGAATAAGTGTTACGCAAAACAACATCACTGTAATATTTCTTTTATTAGATAACAACATGAAGAATTAGAGTAAGCTGCGTATAACATGTCCAGACTATCGGAATAAAAAAGCAAAAACGAAATCGCGCCCATAGTACAAGATTTGCAAATGCTGGGGTCGTAAATAACGATGATCTATCATAGCCCTCTTACTCTATGCAACTCCACAACACCAAGGAAATGGTGAGGCAATGTATATTATGTCGTTATTCTGTCACTGAACCGCCCCGCCGAAGGAAGAAAATGAGTGTTATAAATGCGGCAAGGAAAATACCCAAGTGACTTGCGGTATCCAGTCGAGAGCGCCAAACATTCTCGCCGCATTTGTACCAACGTGCAGCACGCCTGCGCTTATGTCGCCCATGTCGCCGATTTGAACGATCGAAAGACGCCTGTTGGTAGTTGGTAGGTAAAGGTTGGTTGTGAGTGGGTAGGATAGGTGAGGTAGCGGTGTTTCTGCGAGGAGGCATAGTGGTGCTATAATGGGGTCTGGATAGTCATTTGTTAGTGATCTCAGAGGGTGTGCCCCGGGTGGAAGGACATTGCCCATACTTGGGTGCAGGATGTACAGTATCTTTCTGAAGAAGTCCAGTGAAGTTCAAGATGGGTGGTATGGTAGTGATTTCTGTGTTAACACAGTTGGTAACTTATATGTATGCTCTAGTCTGTGGTGTAGATCTTCAGCGTGCATCCACGCCCGACGCTAGTAGTATCGCTACGTAGGTCTATCCACGCCGTGCAGATACCCTGGTCTCTCAAACAACTCGCACCCGGATAACCTGGTTTAATCGATTCTCTGGGATTCCAATTGCAGATTAGCATCTCGCAAGGCAGTGTGGTAAAGTCAGCGCTAACCGAGGTTTGTACTACTAGTACGTAGTAGTAGCGGGCGAAGCGGGCGAATCGAGTACTGGCCTTGTACCAAACGTTGTCAGCCTGGTCAACTCAACGATGAAAGTGGGGCTTTTTACCACTGACTGGATACCTTCTACTACCAGGGTATCCGCTATTGTGGGACTGCAGCTATTTGCCTACTAGCATAGGAACAGTTACGCACTACTACGTACTTCAGTTAGCTAATTTGGTATGTAAAGATTGTCAATTTTTCGAAAAGCGCTATTTACTGTACTGAGAAAGTTACCATTAACGGTGCTTTTGTGAAGTATGTCCTATTCTGCACCGTTCTTATGGTTGCTATTTGTATGCCAATACTATTACCAGTGGTATTATATCCCGCGGAGAGTTCAGTTCGGCGTTCAGCTTACAACGGCCACCTTCTTATTTCATGTTCTTACCTAGTAAAGTACCACTTTCTGAGTATCAGCCATCAATTATAAGAACGTGTGTATTTAATCGTGCAATTAGTCGTGTAACGGAAGAGTTATTGTTGTGGCGTCTACTTTTTGGGGAAAATGGAAGATTTGGACTCGAAGATCATGGTGGGGTAAATGATGTGCATGAGGAAACGTCAGACACGCAAGCCCCGGTCAATGGTGGTTGCAGTTGTAAACTAAGTAAGCGATATGGGCAAACAAGCCGCCCTGCAGTACCGTGATCTACTGCAGACGAGAAGTGCCACTTTCTGCTACTGAGTGCTCTCTGCGTAGTCTAGCTTTTTGCCTGGGCAGGTATCCCGCTAGACAGGGGCGCCCTGTTGCGGAGGCAGGCGGGTCGACCATGTCCAACTTGGATGTATGAATTTGCTACAATAATAAGTCTTGAATGGGATTGGTAGAGTGAAAGAACATGCGGTATACTGAACCAGTGATACCCAAAACAACATCTATTTCTTTAATTGTTTTTTAGAGAGAGAGTGAGACAGGGAGAGAGGGAGAAAACCAGATTTGGAGTACTTCGAGTACAGTAGCATGACTAATTTTATATAGAGAGAAAAAAAGGAAGAAAGACAATGTGACGACAGTAAGTCTGGAAAGACTTAGGGTATAAATGGTGATGATATGAGAACGGGTTGGTATACACTAGTCGCCTTCACTATTCTGCATCGCGTCGCCGAAGGAAGTGAATAAGTGTTATAATGGCGGCAAGACATATCCCGATGTGACTTGTGGTTTCCAGTCGAGAGCGCCAGACATCCTCGCCGCGTCTATACCAAGGCACAGCACGCCTGAGTCTGTTTCGCCGATCAAAAGGTGCCTGTTGGAGGGTGGTTGGTAGGTGTTGGTTATGAAATGTTAGGATAGGTGTCGGGGTGGTATTTGTGTTGTTGTTGTTGTTGTTTCTGCGAGGAGGCATGCTGGTGCTGGAAGAGATGCTGTAAGTATGGTCACTTGCTAGCGCGGTGCGAGAGGGCACGGATTGCAGAAGTGCTTACGGAGGGATAGCGGGCGCGAAGCGGCTGGATAATTGCTCTCAGCGTAATGCAGGATACGTATTGACTTTTCCTCTTGAGGAAGTGCAGTGGTGTTTGGAGCTTGGGGTATCGTAGTATTTTCTAGGGTTTTAAACAAGATATATAGAAACGCGAGATAGACAGCAATGGGTGATGGCATTGTATGTACGTACCATTAGTAGAATCGCGAGTCTGCCTTACGAATATGCAAGGAAAATGGCCAGATTGGGTTAACTTACGTCCGCTGATGGCCAGCTGATTGGACGTGAGAATTGGGGCATGATGTGATTGGAGTGTCGTAGCCTAGCTAAAAGATGCACAGCTGAACAGGCGTGAACTGACCGACTTGTTTTGCCACACTTGTTTACTACATAATGTGGGCCTGTCGATGTGTATCAGCAAACATATTTTGCCCAGTTATTCAGTATTATGTAGACCCACAAGCACCTAGAATAATAATGCCCAAGCTAGCTAGGGCCTCTACCTATATTTTCCAAGATTGCTATCTATATTATAGACCTAAGATAATAACCTTAGTAACGCTGAGAAGGCTTTCGGTTACTGTAGAAGTTTTTGAGCTAATTAGATGACATGTCTTCTTGTAGTACCAAGCACCTCTAGGATTGATTGTGATTTGCGGCTCAAGCTGCAACATTGGCCTCCCTTCTTCATGTTACTTCTTAGCCAAATGACACGTGTTAAGAATAAGGCGTCAAGGATACGAGTATGTCTCTTTAGGCATGCGATTATTTGTGTGGGGGAAGAGCCATCATCTTGAATTGGAAAGCGGGAAATGGAAGGTAGAAAATGGAAGGCGGGTATCCGCAGACGTCGCTGCGTTGCAAACGGCCCTGACGAGGTATCTTGGGATCATGCACTTTTCCTTACACTTTCAGATGCGCATCTACGACTAGACAAATTTGAGGCTTGCAGGCTTTCACTTTCTACAAAATTGAGACGAAATTAGTTGTATTTCTAATGCTTGATAGAGGAATCCATGTTGTCTTGTCGTTGCGTGGAGAAACTTGGCAGAAGACACTGCTGCAACGTACGTAGTACTAGTACTAGTACTAGTGGTAGTAGGTATGTAGCGGAACCGAAACAAAAACCACAAAATCCGAGCGCAAGCCATATACTACATGTACATTGTTGCAGTAGCTCTCCACGCGCGACCGAGCGGTGGATATTTGAGATTCCGAGGCCCTTGCGCCATTGCTTACAACTACAATTACCCTGCCCCGGGGATCGCCTCTCGATCCTAGTTCCGAAATTGAACCGCTTCGACTCGATCGCATATTAGCCGGGGTCATCCGCAAAGAAAGCTTGAATCTCACGCTTTTGAGTTCTCACCTCATTCCTTTTCCGCCTCCACACCGGGCGTCATGAGACTAACGTCTTGCGCATTTTATTAACTCGCACGACGTTCTCACCGTGCTTCTGAGCGGAACCCTCTTTGTCGAACTTTTACAATAAACTTTAATAATTTACCCCTTTTGTATACAATAACAACAACATCTCTTTCTTTACTACCCGCAGAACCGCGACAACAACAAACAACACTTTTTATTAATCATGACATCCCACCAGGACGTAAAACCCTCAACACCACTCTTCCCCTTTACCATCCCGAAACTGCATCAAAACACCGACCTCCCCGCCTGGTACGCTCACAACTCCTATATCCAAACCGCATACCGCCCCATCACAAAATCCACGCGCCTCTGCATCCAAAGCCTGACTTACCTCCACAACGAAACCATCAACATCTACTCGCACTTGCTCCCCGCGGCCCTCAGTCTCTTCTTCAGCCACTCCTTCAGCACCTCTTTTTCAGAGCAGTTTCCACACGCGACGTGGAAGGATGAAGTCATGTTCCGCGTGTTCCTCAGCACGTGCGTGATTTGCTTTGGGACGTCGGCGGCGTATCACACGCTGATATGCCACTCGCGTGCGTTTGCGGAACTCTGGGTGCGACTTGATTATGTTGGTATTGTTGTGCAGATTGTAGGGTCGTTTATTCCAGGGATCTATTTTGCGTTTTATTGTGAGCCCCAGTTGCAGAAGCTGTATTGGAGTATGGTATGTTTGTTTCCCTCCTTCCCCCACGCCTCTTGCCGCTAAGGTTCGGATTTATTTTAAGAATTTGGTGGTGACTTTTTGGGGTAACAGATAATTACGCTGGGAACGTTGACTGCGACGATTGTTCTTAGTCCGGGCCTGCAGGGCCCAAAGTGGAAGTATCTACGTCTTTCCACGTTCGTTGCTATGGGGCTATCTGCTTTTGCGCCTATTATTCATGCTGCTAGTATTTTCCCTTACTCCCAGCTAGACCAACAATCTGGCTTACGTTACTACTTCCTCGAGGGCGTTTTGATACTCATCGGAGTTGGGTTTTACGCAGTAAGTCTTTGGTTGACGTTAGTATTGACTTGATTGCTTTTTGATGCTAACTCACATCTAAAGGCACATTTCCCGGAATCCTGGAAACCAAAGCGATACGACGTTTGCGGTGCATCGCACCAAATCTTCCACATCGCTGTCGTCCTGGGCGCTGTAGCACATTATTACGGTATCATGAGCGCGTTCGAATGGAACTATGCCAATCAACGCTGTGCGTGGTGAATATCGATATTTTATTGGACTTAACCAGACACAACGTTGTTGGTTCGTCGGTTGCTTTTTAGTATGCATAGTGTGCTCGGATGCCCTGTAACGAATCTCGAGTCATTATTTTTGGCACTCGAGAACATAATTCTAATGTAATAGGTCACGTCAATTTTGGCTATTCCCCACGTCATGGATTCAAAGCCCCTTTGCTTTGGTGCAATGCACCTGCATCTATAATGGCATTTAATATATAATCGATAATTTAATGATCAAAAACAAGCAACAATAATGATTTCAATTTGTTGAACTCATCACAAGAAACTCCTTTGTGTTCTCTCCACCGCGACAGTATTGAGCTGTTGTTCACATTACCATTTTTCTTTACTACTAGTCCCAGGCCCCACTCGCCAAAAAATTCTCTAGCTTCCCGCACTTTACCCACATGCAGTCTCTGTACTCAAATAGTATTCTCAGACGAATTTGTTGATTTTTTTTTCCGTTTTTGTTGCTTCTTTCCTCAGAATAATAGATTATGCAAATTCACAATTAGTCATCGAACAACCAATCAAATGGTGAGATGGCCGAGTTGGTTATGGCGCCAGGTTAAGGTTATCTTAACATTATATTCCTGGTCACGAAAGTGGCGTGGGTTCAAGTCCCACTCTCATCAGCATTCGTCTAGATCCGTCTAGATACCCCAGGTTCTTTTTTTCCTTCTCTTATTTTTTGGTTCGGTCTTTTTGGCCAACGGTTGATTGCGAAAGATATTATAACAAGAGAGGTCCCAGACGTGGAGAGGCTCACTAGTTGATGTAATTATCTTTTTTCTTCTCTTCAATATCTTTACAATCATATCATTCATAGCTGAATGTGCCCAATGCTCCTTGGTGTCAGCCCTTATAAGTCGCACTGGATATGGAGACGTAATCATGAGAGGCTTCCTGTGCAACAGTGACCGACTACAACTCCAGTGTCCCAATTCTGCTTCCTGCATTGGAGTTGTCGCCCCAAACACCCTCGCCCACCCTCCTCCTGACCATTGCAAGTACATCCTGCCTGTCACCATTTTGTTCGAGCTTCCTTCCTAGCGTCTTCAGAACCTCAAACTTTGCCGTTGCAACGATGTAGGCCGCGTTCTCTGCATCACCACGGCCGCCGACGAGGTTGGAAAAGGTCGTAGCTGGTTTCAACAGGGAGGGTAATACGCCGCCGCTAATGCTGGGATCGAGAATTAGATCGACGCCGGACTTTGGGAAGGAGTTAAGACGGGCATATGTTGGGTCATTGACGGGAACATCTGGCAGGGGTTCGGTAGACCATGAAGCCGTGATGAGGGCACCCACCAGCGTCAGGGCAGCCAGCGCATTTTCCTTCATAGCAATAGTCTCCATGTGCGTCGTCAAGTCGGCGAACATGGTCGGTTTCTTGCTCCAGAAAAGGGCAGTCAGGAGACGCGCATATATGGCTTCAGTCTGTGTACGCTTGCTATCAGAACCTAAGGTTTCAGTCTGTGGGAATGTGATTTCCTCTTTCGGCGGACCATGGAAGACGGCTGCTAACGTCTTCAAAGCATCTTGGTTTGTTCTGGTAATTGGCATATCTACAATGACACAGTCGTTCCAAGCTGGCCCAGAGACACCCCGCGGAATCAGTGTTGATCTCGGCATTGCAGCGATAATGTTCAGATTGCTTGCTTCGCACTTGCGGATATTGCGGTGGACATAGTTGCGAATGATTGGCATCTCGCTGCTACTCTCGAAGTTCTCAGGGTAACATGAGGCGTAGTCGCTGATGTACTGTGCTGTCCGGTTGCTCAGGAAAGAATGGTCCACACCAGGGTTTTCTGAAGTATGAAAGTCGACTAGGCGCTTGTGAATGCCTTCCTGTTTTAGGAAGTCCAAGGAAAGGCTTGAGTCATAGTGGGAGAGATGAGGCCTTGTCTGAACCTTTGTGATAAGTACGCTGTAGAACTGGATTAGTGACATGTGCATGAGCATGTCGTCTTCAGTATCGACCATCTTTAACGCGGCGTAGTGGAGTAAGCCTTGATCTTCTTTCAAACCGACTTCTTGCTCGACAGGGTGACCGTATGGAGAGACTATGGCGTTCCAGTCCATAGCAGCAACGCGCGGCAACCATGATAGCAACCTAGCTTGGGAGATGGTCTTGTCCCGCTTGCTCAGAAGCGGAAGTGGGGTTGAGGTGAGTTGTTTCAAAGACGTATAGTGGCAGTACAGCGAACTGATGTCGCGGTCGCTGAAAAGCCGTCGCCACATGGGACCAGTACCGTACGTAT